TTGTTTAAAGTATAAACTATCATCTCTTGTTTTACCGAACTGCCTTAGAGAGAAGGGTATAGTTTCTTACAGACTAAAGAATTATACTTACCTCTTGGACACTGCTATAAACCTATAAAGGATCTCTGTAGCTATGTCGTTGTTATAGTACTGCTGTTAAGAAGGCCACGATACTGTAACAATATTACCTGAAAAGTATATATATAATTCTTTTCGAATTATTATAATCAAATTTTGTCATTTACACTTTTTTTCATATGTAATACTGTAATCAACCTAAAAAATAAAGCAGATACAAGTTCTTCTGAGCCTTTCATCTAGAATTAGAAGCTAGTGACATTATTTTTTTTACTTTTATTAATAAAAAAGTGATGAGAACTTGAAATTTTTATTTTATTCTGCATTTTGTAATTTTTGTAGTTAAAAGATATTTATTCATACTATTTCATTACCTTTAGAAAGCTAACTGCCTGAATTGAACAGATACAGTTTTATATCATCTAAATGAATAATCATACTAATGAATAATGAAAAGTATTATAATGAGAGTAATGAAGAGAATTGCGATAAGAATAATGAATAGTATTATGATGAGAATAACGAAGGGTATTATAATGGGAATAATGAAAGGTATTACAATAGGAATAATGAAGGAATAACGAAGAGTATAATTATCATAACATAAAGTTAGAATATATAGATACTGACTTGGAGTTGGCAGAAGGAAATGCCAGTTTGGAAATAAAGCACATAGAAGTGGAATCTAATAGTTATCTAGCTAGAACAGATAGTTCGAATCTTAGTGAGGTTTCATAGTTATTTACAATTTAACGTAAAAAAAGAGCTAAAAAATCAGAAGGTAGTTCTGTTAAACCTTTTTATGAGGCAGTATTAGTTAATAATGTAGAATATTAGACTTGTCATCACAAAAGCTGTTCATGAACAAAATACAAAAAAGATGGTACTACATCAAATTTATGGAGACATTTAAAAAGCAAACATCATATTTCAAGAGCAATGGTGGAAAGTAAATGAGTAAAAATAGAAAAAAAAGATGGAAACAAGTGTGAATTTCATATTATAGTAAAATCCTTACAAGGAACATTAGTAGAGATATTTAGCAAAGCAGCAAAATATTCATTCAATTATCCAAAGCAAAAAAAACTCAACAGCAATCTTGCTACTTTTATTGTTGAAGAACTCCAGTCCTTTTCAATCCTAAGATCACAAACTTTAATAAAAATAATAAAGGATTTGGACTTTCAAGCTAGTGTTTTAAGCAAAGATTAGTTAAAAGAAATTTTGATCAATGCTGAAGATAAAGTTATGCAAAGTATGCATGAACATGCACATAATGACAATGAAATTTGTTACATCTCATTTACCACTGATATGTAGACTTCTGATAATGATGATCCATACATTGGATTTACATTTCATTGGGTAAATAGAGACTTTCAAGTGCGAGAAATAGTTGGTGAGATTTCATACCTCCCATACTCCCATACAGCAAAGTGACTTGCAAACAAAATTATTGAAATTTTAAACAAATTTCAGCTTATAAGTAAAGTTGTGTGTTGCATAGCTAATAAAGGTATGAACATTAAGTCATGTTTAAGAAAGTTAGAAAATAGGTATTGTTACAAGATTGCAGCCTTCTTGGTACAATACAACCAAGTAACAAGGTCACTCAGTACAGTGATTGACTATTGCAAATATATACAGAGTGGAGGTGTAGTAGATCACTTTACTACACAGCAGTAGGCAAACAGTTCAAGATAATAACAGTATATAGATTAACTTTTTATTAATAATACAC